GTGACATCCCACTAAACCATAAGGAGCCGTAATTAAACAAAATGTTCTGCCCTACAGACATGGGTGGATTGAAGTTATCTCCCCACCTTCATGTTTGCTGGTCAGTAACGCCACCCTCCCTCCTTTTGTGATGTTAGGCTCTCTTACGTTTGTGGTAAGTATGATTAATGCTTTAATCAAAGCACATAGTTGGAATACACTGTCTCTACTAGGTCCATGTTACACGCAAATCAGATATTTAAAAATTCTGTTTTATGGGTTAGATGTCCATATAGTATATCACACTGCTATGAAAATAACTAATGGTTTAAAGAAGTAAGGATTGATAGTAAATCAAAAGATATGAGAGGGTATAAAGTTGTAGAAAAAAAAAAGAAAAAGATTTTAGGGTGAGAAAAATAAAACATTGAGAAACTCACAAGACTTTGTGGCCAAATTTTGAGCTTTGAATGATCGGCCTTAGTAGATCAGCATCCATAAGATTGAGTTATCTGTCTACTTGCAGTAGTGTCTGCACCTTCAATTGGCTCATTCAGGAGAAGACTAGACACTCACAGAAGCATACTAGCAAAGGAATAACATAGGCCATAAGCCTTTTCACCTTACTAAACAAATCTGAGTCGGAAATCTGAATTCTGTCCTCTAGTGCCTTTTGCGTCTCAGCATTTGAAGATTACGACTGTTTATGACTGGACGTTGCTTGTAAGTTTTGGGTACCGTTGGCAGGACGGACGGTTTTGGCACATAAGATCACGTGAAGGAAGAAATCCCAATGAGTGTTTGCATCACTTTTGAGGTGGACTTCCCACTCCACCTCTCGTAGGTTGTCCTGTAACACTGACACATCAAATCGTTTGAAATTCCAGCACGTATTATGGTAGGACATTTTGACTCAGTTCTTCTTGTGGAGCTGAGGGCAATGATAGCGTGATTACCTTTTTTACGAGGCGTGAATTGAGAGATTGTCAACTACGGATACTTCACTCGTAAATATACAGTCTAAGCGTATTGGCGTCTGACTGTTTCTCCATCGAGTTCATAAGTTCTCATTTCCAAATAATCCCATATCTACAATGAGGTTTGAGAACCGAGCTTCAGTAGAATTGTCACTTCCAGTGTACTTGAGTTCGAAACTTCAGTACACAAAACTGGATCTAAAGATTACTCCATCGATGTTGGGGTGGTTCTGTTATATCCAATTCACATTTCTGACATAGTCTTTGTACTTGAATATTCTATACCAAGTGATGTCTTTGACTACACCATATAAACTTGAAACATAAAAATGTACTTTTAAGACTAGTACAATTTTACTGGGCACTAGAACAACCTGAGACTAAGCAGTTTCTATGTTACACGACAGACCACTTACCGTCGAAATGTTAGCAGAAGGTTATTACTTTCAGGGGTGATTAACTACTATAAGTCATTTAGATGCTATAAACTGATTAATGAAGCAGAAGTCCTGCCTCATATTCCTCCGTCTTTTTATATGACATCCTCAAATAAATAGATCAATAAATAATTTATTCTTCAATAACAGTTTGTTACATGAAGCATGCCAGTTTACAGGCAAGATCAAATTTTTACAAATGGCAGAATATCCACTGTAGTAAATTATTCACCTGGGTTGATAGTTTATAAGATATGAAATGTAAATGGTTGTAGTCAGTATAACAGTTGGCGTGCTTCATGAAAGTGGCGTTGCGACGTGCAGCTGATGGTCGAGGGTGGATCCATTGAAGGTGGGAGCTTCTAGAAATCGCAACCTTATATCCCTTTGGAATATCTGAGGCTTTAAGGATGGTGCAGGATGAAGTCACCTGTTCCATATCTTAAGGGGGCTGAAAAAGGTAGCAAGCAAAAGAAAGGAATAGGACTCAAACAACCAAAAAAGTGGAAATAAAGGCGAACGAAAGGGAAATAAAGGGGTAAATGCTTTGGAAGAGAAGGGGAAAATAAAGGGGAAAACGCATCAGAATATCGTCTTTTTCGCCTGTCCGGTGGAAATACTGCTGATTTCCCCCTTTCCTGCCGCTTTGTCGATAAATTGCCAACTTTTCGCCCAAATATCCGCCGAATTGTGGAATTTTCGCCTGAATATCCGCTGAATTGTCTACTTTTCGCCTAAATTTCCGCGGAATCGCCTACTGATACGCTTAATCGTCTACTTTGCGCCTAAATACACACAGAACTCCCTATTTTCGATCCACTGACTTAGACCATAAAGGTCTCCTATGTTCGCCTTTATTTTTAGCAACAGACCGAAATGAAACTGCAATGCACTGGAAAACCGATGTATTTTTAAAAATTTTTATTTAAGAGGAAAATCGTATTATTGTACAACATTAGAGCGGACGCTTGAGCATCAATCGTTTTGTATATCCATTGTAATTGCCAATTCATTGTTATTTGAAAAGATCTACAAAAGATGAAACAGGTGATTTATTATTCATAAGGCATTTGCATCTAATCTAAAGTTGACTAACACTGAAACACACATTCTCAACACTTCTATAGTTTCCCAAATAAAAAATAAAGTAAGCTCTTTGACAAAATAATGTTTATTAAAAGGTAGGTAGAACATTAAAAAATTGCATGGATTATTCCCTTCAGCCACATTCGTTCGCCCATTGAGAATTGAAAGTCGTCCTGTGAATTAATAAGTTTAAAAAACAGAAAAAGTCACAACAGTATCTAAATGACATGTCTTGGCACAGCCAAATACTTTAAGCTAAACTTACGGTTATGTCCGTTAACACTGATGACTGTGTAACAGCTCAGGTTGGTTGGTTTAGAGTTGACCCCAAAACAGTATTGTTCAAGTATTCATTCACTTCCTTATTTTGTATAAGCGTTATATTCCCTAATATCTTATATTGAATGTTGAGAGCCTTTGTTTGTCTGAACAGATAATCCAACGCTCCACCTTAACTGCGCGAAGATCGAAATAAAGACCTATTCACTACTTCTCTGGTTTCTTCTATCAATAGCACGAGGGTTACCTTAGGGCACGAAAACTGTAACTATAGAGCCGTAAGGAATGTTATCACTTTAAATTAGTACATACCTGCCCTTCTTTCCTTCTTTTACGCTTTATCACTTTGTCCCTGACATCGTGAAAAAACCTTGTGTGGCTAAGTCGTACAGCTTCGCAAGATCTTTTTCGTTGACAGAGGATGATAAAAAGCGATTTGTTAACGCACTTGAAGTTTAAATATTAAATATGAGTTATTTCTTATGCAGCTGTAAAACCGTCATTTTAGAAGTGGTCGTTTAGAAGGAGTTCCAAGTAACGTGAAGTTACTGACAGCCTCAGGTGTTAAGAGGTACGACAGAACATACCTCATTGAGGTTTTCGGGTCATCACTTGATAACCTGGTAACCACTGCCATCTTTAATCGGGAAAAATTATTAAATTAATGTTGATGACTTACAAATCGGTCTCTGGTTTCTTTCTGCTGCAAACCAGTCTCCAGCATTTGCAGTTTCTCTTCAGATGACAAAGAGAACTGCTGGCTGGAGAGCCCGCAATCGAATTGATGCGGTTGTTCGCGTTCGTTAGACTTAGATAGTAACTGCTTAACATTACTACTCAGGTCAGTAATGGCCGAGGATATGTTCTGCAAAATCTTGTACAACCTATCAAAGCTGAAAAAGCTCACTAGATGATGCAGGTGACTTACTGATCGGCTATAGCACCACCGACATGCTTAGATTCCGATGTGGATGGTGATGTCTTTATTTGTGTCGAACTGATTCGTGAATATCTAAATAATAATAAAACCTACTTGGCGATACGAATTTGTCGAACAACCGGAATTTCGGATACTGTACGTGGCTATTCCCAGCCTGCATCTCAGCCACATCCATGTCGACTGAATTGTAAAGAAAATCTTCTTTACGCTTCATTGCACTTCTAGGGATTGTTAGTAAGATTGTTGTACTGACCTCTTGGGCTTCTCACTGTTTTTTGGCAATGTGTTCTCATCCGTAGAAGTGTTTCTACGGTGAGATTCCAGTATTTGCATTGCAAGTAAAACATCTTTCGCCGACTGCAGAGAATCTATAGTGAATCATAGTTTCTATGTTTGTTACCGAATTCGCTAGTGATTTTACATTTCAGAACTGCCCAATTGTCATCTGGTTGGTCGCACCTTTGTAGGTGGATATCATCCCCACTGCCGATGAACTTTGGTTTAACACTTGGACAAGTCTTCAGAACACCTCTGATGCTTTTCGGTATGTCCGGGATAAGAAATCGTAGGCCATACAGAACCCGATCAGCATCTTGTATGCTCAGAGATGTATTTGACATTATATACACTATAAAGTCGTTCATCAGTTCTTTGCGATTTACGAACTTCTGAGAGCACAAGTTTACTACAGTACATCCTATCAGAAATACATTCACGTATGAATTTAATGTACATACCACTATTATCTGAAAGCCTTTGATTGGTGTTGCTAGTAGATGGTGTAACAGTTGAAGTACTGTCATTACAACTGATTTCTCTCTTTACTTCGATCAATTTAATGAACAACACTGTTGAACTCAGTTACCTTTTATGGTGCTTTCATTAACAAACTCACTGAACGAAAAGAAGTCATATGTTTTCATGAAAGCTGCTCGCATTTTATTCCACCTCCTGTTATAAGTGGTTCTATGACAACCAAGGGAACGTGACAAGTTCACAGTGGCCCTGCGTCTACGAACATTCTCACTGACTGCAATCCAACTCATAGTATTGGACTAACAAGGTAATCAGTTATAATGAACATGAAAATCTGAGAGCACGTCACTCACCTGCATCACGTAAGTTTTTTGTGATGGACCTCAAGCATGTCGGGACACTTTAGCTAAACAAAAAACGAAGTTAGTGTATTTGCGTCTAAACCGAATGCCTGGTTCTGTACTTTGTAACTTTTTTTTATGACAATAGATTTTTTAAAAAGCGGTGCCTTAATTTGTCTAAGTTTATGGAAACTTAAGTTGTGGATGCGGTTTATTCAAACACTGTACGTAACGTCTAATTGTTGACAAATTTCCCCCCAATACACGACGTAAGGAGGAAAAAGCGACATTTCCCCTAAATAACCGACGTAAAGTCGAAAAAACGACATTTCCCCTTTATTTACGCTATCGTCCGCTTTATTTCCCCTTTATTGGTTGCTTGGGCGAGGTATGACTACTCAGTATAATTTTCTTTTATTAGAGTATTTACTATGCTAGAGCCTTCTAATAAGTTAAAGAAAATTGAACAATGTATGAGTGGATAAACAACTGACAAGTGGAGGTGGTTCAGAAAGCAGCTGAGAGTATGGGATTATGTGTAGTTGTAAAATATAGTACCAATAACAGTATTATGATACACAAATGGCTGTCTTTTTTTGTCGAAGCTGTTAGAGCCTTTTTTAGACTTTATGGGGTATTGAGTAGGCTTCTTTTTTAGCGAATTGTTCAGGTTGCTTGTAATAGGATATCTGGGTAGGAAGTGAAACCAATTCAACGTTCTAAACACGATTTAATAATGTATTTTGCTCATCTCCTGTCACTCCTCAAAGTAAGTGAGGACGATTAGGCCCTTCTGGCCAACCATCAGAAGTGTTAAGCAATAGCATGCTCGTTGACTTCAAGCTTCTTGCCGGTCATGTCTTAGAGGTTTCACTACCTATCTGAAGAGGAGTGAGATGAAGCGAGACTAAGTTTTGTTAGCCTTCGATATTGATACTGACCTCATTAGTCTAATTAGACATACCCCTAAATTAAGGCGCTAGGTCAATCATCAACTGATTACATAGTTCGTGGTGAGCTATTAATTAAGGAAACGCCAAGAATGTCTTTGTCTGCGGACAAATATTGTAACTCGACATTATGACACTATGAGGTTTTCGACTCTCAAATCATCCTGATAGTGTTCCTAGGATGAACGTCTATCACTTTCTATTAAATGAATCCAGGAAAGGGGCAGTGTTGGGTTCTAATTGATCAAATTATGTAATACTGTTATGCCTATTCTTAACAGTGATTCTTACTGTGAATATATGTGATACTGAGCTAGTGATAACTTAAAACAGTTCAACATTCTGTGTCATGAATAAATGGCTCGTCTATACGGGTGTTTCTGATTTAGATATTCAGGAAAGATAATCACAAGTACCTCTACTTGGAACAAAGTCTTTGGACATCAGTGGGTTAAAGTTCAAGTACTTACAAGATCACCTTATTCAGAGATTACAAAACGTAAAGGTCTTCTCCATGATATGAAAATGACTATAGGAGTTTAATCAGTCCTCATATTCCTCCCTTCTTTTCAGCGCCATGAATGCAACATGCAAAGGTAGAATTTGGAGCAGGTGTGTGTTCGTCAAGGTTACAGATCGTACGATGTACGACTTTTAAACAGATTATTTCAACTGTGAACACAAACCTACTATCTTGCTGATTATTCTGCATGGATATTCCATCAAACATTTCCACTATCCCTTCCTATTGATCATGCCTGTGGGGATGACTTGCACTTGCTATATATTATGATCGACCATAACATTATTCATATTCTTATGTACGTGAATTTCCCCCCTGTTACTATGTTATATTATATATCAACCTAACTTATTACGGTAAACCATATAACGTCTGTAACATTTCCATCTATTTCCATCCTACAAAATATTGTTATATGAAAATAAATTGCTATCACTATATATCTTTGAACCAGTAATCGATGAGTTAATGAGTGATCTCTGTCATCGATCTCTAATATTTGCAATTGGTTTTAGACTCGTGAGAAAGGTTCACTGTCCTGCGCCTTTCAATATAGTTTTGGTTACATAGATGAGCTACATACTTCCCGGACGACTGTTGATACGCGTCTTCCATAAAAGGAAATTGTCTGTTACGTTATGCGATGCCCTTAGATCTCTTTACATTGGCGTTCATCAGATAGTGAGGACCATGTCATAATATGACTACTCTTTAGAACGTTATCAACCGGAAATTCTTAGTTGTTGAAAGCGAATACATAGTACTTAGTTGGGGAACCATATCTCAGTCCTCTAGTCCTCATGCAAAGAGCTGTGAGTGTAACTTTTATTCATTACGCCAAATTGGATTACACCAGACACGTGCATTACATGATGAGATGATGGCCTAAGCTATGGAAAGCTTAATAATAGTCGTGGTTGTTTCGTAGCAAACCGTCAGTGAATAACGGAGAACGGTTCTAGTAGCTGTGCTATAAACCATGTTTTGATACATAAATAGCTGTGATCTTCAGTCTTGAAATAATATACTTTGTCTTCTAGGTAAGTCTTATTAGCTTATAGTTTGTTTGTTGTGTTTATAGGCCTAGTCGTCTATAGTCATCTATTTTAATAACATAACTGCTCAAGAAGAATAGCAATTACGGTACCTCTTTAATTTGATGATATACCTGTTGTCATATAATTCATTTCAGTCAACATAATAATCAGACTTTAAGGAAGTAATGAAACACATGTGTTCAGTAACCAGAGTTGCTTAAATTTTAATTTACGTTAATGTGCTTAGGCGTTGAAATTATAAAACGATCAGTATGAGATTACATAGCCCTAGAAGAGGAATATTCTAAGTATTAACTAAATGCAACTGGCTACGGATCAACATCCGAAATCTGTTTAACTAGTGGCAACTGAGGAAACGGAACCGATTCAAAAACCTTATCGTCAACATTGACATCAAATAAATAACGGAATTTCAGCACGCTGGAAGATAAAATATTGCAGCGAGAAAAGAGAACAAGGTGATCCAACCGCCAATGCTTACAACGATGACGCAAATGACAATTCCTGCTTCATTCTGATTGGATGAAAAGCACACTGCCGAACCGGAGTTTAATTCCCTTACCACTCGAGATCACTGTGCTGCAAAGTGAGGAGCAATATGATACGAAGCATTATGGACTTTGTTGAACACTTATGTATTGGATTCTAGTTTCCTGTTACCATGGTTGAAAAATTCACGTGGAAAACTGAGAATAGGAGATAATGTAGTCAATTCTCACTGATTGCCAAAACCAGAATAGACGGCCAAAGACGGAATAAAGGGGTTTATGCAACAAATTGCATGTCACAATGATCTGTACACACAGAGTTAATCACAAAACATGACATGCGTAGATCGGGTTCTAAGCTTGACTGCGTTTGAAATATAGGGTGTTATTCAATAAATAGTTCAATTCTAGAACAGCCACTGTTTCACCAGAACCACCTTTCAAATCACCTACACAATAAAGCGAGCGAGCTCAATAGTACACCAAATTTTAGAAAATTTCAATGAAGAGAGTTTAGGAATCAAGTGGTTTGACAACGCCTTAACCAGTAACATCTACTATGAATCGTCTCCACCAAGTGAAATCAAAAGACAGAAGCGAGGAGGTTCGAATATATATTTGAAAGGTTATCAATATATCGAGGATCGACTGATCTAGGCTGGCTAGCAATTACAGGGGATTTTGAGCGCGGTGTTCACACTCGTGATCTGGTGCAGATGCATGACCGAGCGCCTTCAGCTAGGTGAGTCCATTAAAACTAATGTGGCCAGCATCGAATGTCGAAGACTCATAGAGCTATTTAGTTTGGAGATTTATTTACCGTTACAAAGTTACGGGTCATATATTGAATCGTAGTACCTTACCTATTACATTTACAATATTCTGGATGATTCTGACTTCATGCACATCAAACGTTCGTTTTGAATACTCGCATAAATGTTAGGTTTAGTAGTATTACTTATCACCACGACTTTACAAGTAACCTAGTGTTGTTATGCCTCTCCTAAACTAGAGTATGTTTTGATCCTCGTTACTTTCTGTTTCCACATGATGTATTTTTATAGTTACTGCCGAATAGAGACATTATTTGTTGTATCTACGTTCTAGTGGGAGGCTAGTGCAGCAGCTTTATTGATAATACATTTGTATACACCATTAGCTTTCGACAGACGAAGACGTTGGACATTTTTGTCTGTTCACTGATTCGTTGAGAACGCTTTACATACTTTCAGCTTCATTTGATTGGTATGCCGTTAATCGGACCTGGTTAATTTCTCATATTTGATCGAAGCATACAATCAATAAATCTTCCTGGTGGACTCTTGATTTAACACTGTATGAAAAGATGTTACTCGTTAGTGTTTTATTCCTTTATCATCACGAGGAAACTCAGAACGTTATCATTTTAGTGTTAGACCTAGCTGACAGAATCTTTAGCTAGCTTTGTTATTCCCCTTTTCCGACTTCACATGACTATTATGCGAAGTGTTTTATTACTTCTCTACATCTATCGGATGTATAATTATCAATCGTACATCTGATCCTACCTGTTTGCTTTAACCTTCAGATCATTAATCATCCTGTCTGTGATACTTGAATTTTCCAAATAACTTGTGATTGTTCATTTCAGTTTTCAATATACCACATTTGCCTGATAACAATAAATACGACAGTACAGCACCATAGTCGAAAAGAAAATTTTTTGTTCCTGAGTTGTATTTACTTTCTTTTCCGCTGTTCAAAGTTTACTCCTGAGAAGTTATTTCAACTCATGCAAGTATATAAAGTTAAACAAATGACTAGTGATAAAAGTGTTAGTAATGTCTCTACGACGCTTGACCTCGTCGAAGCTGAAAACTGACATCGTTGCTTGTAAGGTGTTTTGATGCATTGATAATGTCTGAACTCCCTGAAAATAAAAAGCACAATATAAATGAAAATTGTGATGAAAAATTATGGTTTAAATAGCAATGTAATGCCTATTTAACAGTATTCCAACACTTTTAATGACAAATCACAGGGTTGGTCATACTGATTTAGAAAATACAATCCTCAACTTAAGGTATACGATAAAACTAGTTCTCCTTAAATCAAAATTTTAATGTTAGGTGTTCAATGTTTCAAACATAAACGATTATTTTAGACATTGTAAAATACAAAAATCTACCCAATAGTATTGTTCGATGCTTTGAAAGCCGACAAAAAGGTTAAATGTTATTTTCTGGTTTTCTAAAGTTAATTGTCGACTTACAAAGGATCATCGATGCAGCGAAAAGGAATATGCGAAGAGTTCAGTTTGTTTGCAAGTTGTTGCAGACTCCACGATTCACAAGTTTGTCTAGTAGGGAATCGACAACAAGAATAATGACAAATGTGATAAAAATCTTTCAAAGTAGGGAAATTATCGTAGAACATTAATTTAAATCACCTTTTTGTGCTTCATCCATCCCAGTATCTATTTATTCAAATCAACCCCATATGTACTGTTCTAAGTTGAGCAACAGCTTCAAATGTTATTCAGTGCATCACAAATCCTTAAAAGCAGGGTACATTGAGTAATCATCAAAATACAGAATCACTTGGTTGTTTATGGATTTCAAACAAACTTCTAGATAACATTCAACATACCTATCTATAACATTATATTAATGAAAGAATAATCTCGAGGGGCTGAATTTGTATAAAACATCAGAAATTGAAGTTGTGAACAATAATCCAGCAGAAATACATGTGGAAAATACTGAGATTTTATATTACAGATAAATGGTGTAAACATTTGTGTAAAACCAAGTCAAAGTTGATAAAGAATACATTCATGAACTAATGGGATATTTACAGCAAAAAAATTATGGTACTCATTTTTTTCACTCAAAAGTTGAAGTACATGTTTGAAAGTTTACTACAAAGAATAAGTAGTTCGAATTCTGAACTAAAATGTTAAGTTCTTGAATTAATGTTTCATAAAAAATCCATCGACTACCATGTAACTCATAAAATAGGTACTCCTAACAACAATACGTCAGTTCTTAGTTTAGTCCTTGGTTGACTTCATCATGATTGAATAGTAATGATGTCAACGGCATATAGATTCTATTGACCTCGTACACATCCTGTCGACAAATGATGTTAATGTAACATAGAGAACAGAAGTCAAATATGAATCGTATTTAGGATATGTATATTTCAGACGTGCTAAAATTGGACGGTAGACAAGCAATAAGAGATTCAGCGAATGTACAAAGCGTTGGAGCTTGGTGAAATCGGAACTCAGAACAAAAAGGTGACTCAGTTTTTACCAGTCGTGTAGAATATAAAGGAAATGGATGGACACGTATATACTATAATGAGTATTTAAAAAATGGTCAGTTACCTGCCAGTAGTTGATAAGGTCAAATAAATATATAATAAAATAGCTGGGATGATTAGGGTAATTCGTCTGATATCTTTTTAACCTTACTCAAGAAAATAGGCGTGTAAGTCTAGTCGAAAAAGTGAGATGAATAACTTGTCCAGAAATTAAGACAAGGTCCCTACATTAGTGGTCTAAACTACCATGATTATAGTTACACAACACTTACTCTAAAATTCATAATAATGGTAAAATGACAAAACGGAAACTGTTGATTTAAGTAATTAACATTCACTAATACCAACGCAGCTAGAGTGTGACTATTGTTACTATGGTAGTGAGTGGTGGCTGCTGGTTAAAAAGCCTAACTTTCTGTCACTGGGTTCCAAGTTTGAATTTACGTTAATTTCACGCAAAACATTTGGCTAACAAATGAATTTAAAACATGTATCAGGTACATGAGCCATACTAAATGATTTAACTATTATATTTTATTAATGTTTATAGACTGTGTATTAATTTGAACACGTAAAATACACAAAGGAATTTTGTACTGTATTTTATAAACAAGTGAATATCTCCATGAAAACTTGATAGTAGAATTCCACATCTCTTTTAATTATTAACATGTTCATCTTCTCACAATTGACACAAACCGAATTATACATGCCCCTTCAGCATAAACTACAATCTATTAGTCAATATTAACTAATAATTTTTAAATGGTTTTAAATGAAACTCATTTTCAGATGATAAATACACTTACCGGTAAGTGAAATCTTCCAAACTATGAATTAGTTTCACAGTTATTTGTCGTACTCGAGGACCACTCAACAGTGGTAGTTCTATTTTTCCAAAAGTTCTTACAGCATAAAATGCAATACAAATTGAATAGTTAAATAATATATAACCGTTTCAATAAATACAGTTATATATATATATATATATATATATATATATATATATATATATATATATATATATGAGTAACAGAAGTGGGTTTTGTGGATATTATAGTAATTTCAATAATTGAGATCATGAGTGAAGAGTTGGACGGCCGTTTCGTCCAGTGTTTCCAGGTTTTCCATGGTGGTCTAGTTTCAATTAACTCATGATCTCAACTATTGAAATTATATATATATTAAACAAAAAAACAAACAAGTTATTATTTTATTTATTCATTATTTCAAATGCTTTGTTATGAATGAATTTTTAAGGGAGGAATTTGTTGAATAAAATTCATGATTTCATTAATAAGTATATCATTTTTATAACATAACTATATGCCTAATCACAAAATCTTTAATCTAATAGTCTCGAAATTCCTGAGAACTACTTGAAAAACATATTTGATCAAGTATTAGCAACTTAATCAAGCCTCCAAACTTCATAAAGTATATTCCACAGTCTTAATACAGTTCAAATGAAACTGATGTTTAATATACTCACTATTAATTGTCTGATGGATATGTGTTCTGTTTTACAGATGTTACAAGTTAGTGAAAGCCGATAGGCAGTATTGAGTACAATTATGGATTTCATCCTCATGCATATCAGATAATAAAAATAACTCATTTTTAGACATGTTCAAAGTACTGGGTCATTGTAAATTAAATTTGACACATTTCTTCAACGGATTCGTTTTTAGTGATTTTGAAAGGTAAGTGTTTAACACAAAGATTATTGAGTTTCAATAGTTAATGTTTAACTTGTTAGGAAAGTCTCATTTCAGCAAAAAAATTCTTCCTATGGAAAACATAATCAAAGATGATTTGTTCATTATGAATCCAAGCTCCATGAATAATGGTTAATTGTGTTGAACATGAATGATGCTGCAGTTCGTGTGGAAAATTCGTTAATTTTAGAGTGTAACTAACCAACGCTTTACTCAACCATATTTTTACTAATATGGGAGATAACTAAACAAGATTCTTAGACTTAACCCGTTATTTTAATTTAAATGTTAACTCGTGCATCACAAACTGCTTCGCTAATTAGGTAATGAACGTGTGTCAATGAATATATCAGTGGATATTCCTAAAGATTTTTATTAACTCGATAAGAATGAATTGGCTAAAAGAGATATGTATTAAAAAAACTCACCTATTTCCATCAAATGGAACCTTGACCGAGCCATTCAGTACCACAAAGACGTTACCAGATGCTCTCCTGGCAAACTATAATAAAGGCATTTCGTGTAAGAATACAAGTCATTAACTGGTTTACTTTCAGTATTCTGTTATTTATTTAAAGCAAGCAAAAATTGAGCTCCGGAATTAAATCGGCTATCTCAAAAAACTTAACGATATTAAAACTATCCTTCGGAGCTGTTACAATATTAATTACTAGAAATCCATGGATTCTTTTTTATCTCAATCTTATTTTTGACTTAATGAAGATGTGAATTTTGGTAAAAGATAATGAAAACAACTGGAGAAAATCGAGAGAAGAATACTCCGTTCACGTTTCACGAACAGCTTAGAAACGTTAACCTGTTTACTTCGAAGATTTTAGAAAATAGAATATGACACACACCAGATGAATTGTCAAACCACATACCATGTAAACCAAAAGACCAAATCACTCATGTGTTAAGCGTTAGTTACATTTACACAGGTCACTTAGTTAGACCAAGAATACTATCCTAATCATACAAGTTAGTCTTTAAATGATCTAGTTTCAATTTTATGATCTTGATACACTTTACCCAATAAAACTTCCAAACACTTAAATATGTCAACTTCAAATCAGTTATGAATCTTCTGACTGCTCAGAATTTAACTACGTTAATAGTTGATATTCATATGGATCTGAACATCACAGATACGTTCATTATTATTAAGAAGTTGTATTTTCCAATGGTTTCGAAGAAAAAAACAAAACTGTTTTCGCTAGCATTCAACTATTCAATGCTAATAGCATCATAAGAGTAGTAGAAAACCAGAATTTACAGAAATCTCAGCCTGTATATGACAACCTGATCAAAGTTCTTCAATATGAAACAATTATTCATCTTCAAGTGAACGAATTGGTGAAGATAGCAGATATGTGTAGATTGTTAGATTTAGTAAACGTATCATTTGTAGAAACAGTATATGTTTATGATATGAGGAATTTTCTTATTACATTTGTGTTGTAAATGTTAATTTTTGGAAGGAGGGTGTTGAAGCCAAATCAAATTTTAGCTTATCTTCTCATTTCTGTTCAGCCAATCTGAATTCCATTTTGTGTGAAGCCTTTTTGCTATGAGTCTTTGGTTGTGATTTTTAAAATTTCTATGGATGATCTCAGTGAATCAAAATCAATCTTGTGACTTGATATTTTAGCGTACAGACCCATGGCTGAAGAGGTTCTAAGTGTTTCGAGCTCCATCAGATTTTACGGTGGTCGAGCAGGAGCTATACAATGTTCATTTGTTCTTGTGTTGATTTCTCAAGGACTTTATTCAATTTATATTGTATCACGGTCTAAACAATTTATTTCATAGACACAATTAGGCCGTGAATCTTTTGGTATTTTATCTTATACATGAACACGGTTGGTTTGTAGTGTTTCGGATGCTCTCAAAAATACTTTGACATTGGCATTGTTGAGTAATTTTCTTGTCTCATTTGATGTGCGCGGTTATAATGAACGAAGACTTGGATGGGATAAACCAATTTACTATGCTAAGCAAAATTACACTGGATTTCTAAAATATGAAGGCAATACATTGAATACACCATTTGCACATCTTCCTTGAACTGTCGCTTACAAGCTCCATAGTTCTTTCATTCCTGTTGCTGCTCGGGCTGTTCTGACATTCCGTCTCTTCTCTTCATGTTCCCCTTCTGTCAGTAAAAATCTCACTTTCGATTCTTGATGCATACTGTTTATAACTGTCCGTATAGGTAGCACACACCATACAATATGTATTAAATGTCAAGTGTTGTAGTCTATTATTCTGAAGTTTATTTAGTTTATTTATTTGAACATATAAACATAGGTACAAGGAGCCAACAAATAGATATGCGTGACACTTCTTCATTTGATTTGTGTATGGGCTGTGATACTGTACGAGTGCTCAGACCGAAGCAGGTGGTTTTCTTAGGGAGCCACTCCCCAAGCCTTCGACCTAAAGTTCTGATTCACAAGGTAGTGGAGCAACGTCAGGAGATGCAGTCTGTTGGTAGCCGGTGACCAACAATTGGTTTGTACGCCATTTGTTTCTTTAGGATCCTGGAGCCCATGTGCATCATTGGTTTGGAATCAGGGTATTCGAACTCCCCTATGTGGATCATCTATATTCACTAACCCGGTTAAAGCTCCGGATATTTGCTTTTCGTCTTTTCAATTCGGTAAACAACACCCTCACTACGTGAAAGCGGTGAGTAGGACTTCTGTGATGGCGGCTGTATACGCATGGCTATGTTAGAACATTTCGAGAGGGAGAGTTAACTCTCCTCATCCTCAGCCGTATCGGGGCATTTGGGGTACATTTAATGTTATTTTCTATTCTTCGGATAGTTAATTGTTAGAAGAAGCTCTTTTGTGTTCTTTAGCTCAGATTTCTTTTTCTTTATGTTCGACATCAGTGTGTGTGTGCTCTTCCTAAATGTTTGGAGACAAGTGATACTTTTGATATGAAAATTTAATATCAAAACAAATGTGTTCATTTTGGGAACTTGAAAATAACAGTTAGTTTCCCCATTCATATGAGGTTATGGCTATTGTATCTGGTATTGTATTCCGGTAAAAATGAAGATTTATTGACTCTCCAGAAATACGTACCTGAAACATATCGTCAATAAATCCATATACATTCATACTGTTTCATCCGCATTTAATGATCAGTTGATAAATATCAAATATGGGAGAAATATACAAAATTACTGCAAGAAGGCACGAAGTTCAAACCGAATTAGTTCACCTGCCATGCTAAGCGAAATTAATACCAGACTTATGCAAGAATACTGACCTGAAATAACATCACGTCACAGTGAATGAAATTCTTAATGGATTGATACAAAAAACTACTGGTCTGAAATAACGTCAACTTCATATCCCCTTATATTAATGACCATCAATCAGTCTTTCCTCAATTCCGTCTACTATTTTTTTTAAAGGTAAATAGTCAAATACTTATGCTTTAAATGGAAATCAACCGGCTAATCATATTAGAGTAATCATTTTCATTTCTAAGTAATCAACCGATTGACATGAATATCACTTCTCTACACAGTCACGTTTTATTAGCTCATTCAGGTGATGATATTTATCCTGACCCATTTAAAGAAAACAATCTGTTGGCTAATTACTTCTGATACATACCCATAGCTTCTATATCAGTAGTTTGATTTGCACTGAATATGATTTACGAGTTATAATTACCCGTAAGCAATTAATTCGCCTAATTTACGAAGTCTTACTTAAAACGATATTTTCTATAAAAGAAAATTCTTCCCCAAGCTCCAAACTAGATTTAAAAACAACACACCCTAACAATTACTGACTATCACTTTCAATTTGATAACATGTAATTATTCATATGACATTTTCTATATTACGAATGTGTAAACATATCGCGATATCAAAAAATTAGATTAACGTTTCATTCGGACTAAAAAGAAAGGAGACGCTGAAGATAGTTTAGTGCAATCATCATAAAAAACTTAATACTCATTTGACGATTTTCAGCGTCCGATCATTAAAGAATCTCATACGAAATTATTTTATTAGACATGACATAGTTTTTAATTAATGCTGCACTATTTATTGCAAATCTATTGTGGTATGTAGAATAACACTATGTTAATAGGTAGAGAATTACTTCTTACATACCTCAGCCGAAGCACTTTCCCAGTAAGCCCGAACAACAATTTTACGATCGCATCCACATGAAGTCCCATAGTTTGTCATGCCTGTTAATGTTTTATTACACCAATTCAAATCATCAAACAGATATCCTAGTTGCAAACAAAAAATGAATTAAATTAGTCTTTTCAGCACATTGATAGTGTTATATAATGAGTAATTGATATTCGGATAATAGATTTCTATCTTAACTCACTGGAAATTAAACATACTATACCATGCTTGATATGTGACAACAAAACAGACATACACAGTTAAAATTCTATAATTATTACTTCAGCTATCTCTAGAATCATAAAAAAGTGTGCTTGACGAAATGTCTGATTGTTCAGTTGCTGAAAAACGTGTTGGTAATTAACAACACACTCCACCTAGATCAAGATCTTGCATGATTTGTCACCTTAACTTTGTCATTACCGAGCGTAGTCACATAAATCTAGTTTTATTGCCGTACTCATAGCTTTCTAAGACTTTCGAGGCTGTTAGCTATCAGCATCTTATTAGTAAAACTCATATCTTATGGAATCACACATTGGCACGGTCTAATTCATTCTCTCAATAACTGGAATCGACTAATTATGATTAACACTCCGCATAGGACGATCTGCCTGTAACAAGTGGTGTAATACAAGGCAATGTCTTGAGTACTTTGTTCTTTACTACGTTTTTAAATCATATCTACAATTGCTCCACAATGGGTATACCTTTTGAAGACTTAAATATGTACAAAATTGAGTCAGTATCAATTAACAAAGTCACCTGATGGAGCCCAAAATGGAATTTTGAACCTAACACTGCTAAATGTTGATGAGTTTGCTTTAGTATTTTTTCAATTTACACTTCATAATAAATGGTAAGTCGCTATTTACACTTCATTTAGTTTATTTATTTGAACATATAAACATAGGTACAAGGAGCCAACAAATAGATATGCGTGACACTTCTTCATTTGATTTGTGTATGGGCTGTGATACTGTACGAGTGCTCAGACCGAAGCAGGTGGTTTTCTTAGGGAGCCACTCCCCAAGCCTTCGACCTAAAGTCCTGATTCACAAGGTAGTGGAGCAACGTCAGGAGATGCAGTCTGTTGGTAGCCGGTGACCAACAATTGGTTTGTACGCCATTTGTTTCTTTAGGATCCTGGAGCCCATGTGCATCATTGGTTTGGAATCAGGGTATTCGAACTCCCCTATGTGGATCATCTATATTCACTAACTCGGTTAAAGCGCCAGATATATTTGTAATTAGACTGAATACAATTAAAAGCAAATAATTTTATTACGTCTTCTTTCTACAATCCTTTTACTTTATTATATATTACACTTTAGGTACATGGACAGTATTGTATTCTTAGATGCAATGTGTTTCATATTATTATATTCTTTGAAAATTATTCTTCTAAGTGAAGCAAGGTTTAAAGTTGAATAACTTTCGAAGACTAAAATACATTTGTATTCATAGAAATATTATATTTTTCGAAAGAAAGTATTTTTAATGACCTGCAGTCTTTGTAATGGTTTTGATAATTATATACACTAATGAAATGGAATATTTTATAGGTAGCCATTCACGGTCAAGCAGTAAAAGAAAAGAAATATTTTAACGATAGTTGAATTTTATGAGATTTAGAATTTTACTGATAATGATAAACTTCCGACTTACCGTGTGAATGATACTATTACAGTATCAAAGCCAAAATTTTATTAATTTATAATTGGCATAGACATTTAAGAAACTTAAATACGAATAACAAAAATGAAGTGAATAAAAGTAAATTATAAAACTTTCGTAAGCCCAACCTGGCAATGTAGTTTCTAGAGAACGACACATTCCAAGACGTTTACACATTCCACGAATGACTTCCATCACTTGAGAATGGAAGTAATACTTAAAAATAGAAATGAACAATTTAAGTTGGAAATTATATCATTCATAAATATGATGCTAACGTTTTTACAAGACATATATAATTTTATATATAAATGATATTTTGTACACGTCATTCTAAGTTGATATTCAAAACATTTGTCAACAATGCTGAAGTGTTGGAACTACCACCGTTTATTCGTTCTTACCAAAGAGCAATTCTCTGGAACCTATTTATTTATTTTGATTGATCCAGTTGAACAGTCTATACGTATATCGTGGTTAAAGCAAACGATAGTGTAAGTGTACCATTAAGAAGTAACAATGCTATGCTATGCATAAAATTTTCCGCATCTTTTTTGTTGAAAACAATTGTTGTTCGGCACAACTAGTTGTAGCTCATAATTTTTGAAGTAAAACAGTATCCTATACAATTATTCGTTCATTTTAGTATCAGCTGTTGATGCACAATGTTTACAATTAGTGTTCGAAATGCGAAGTGTTAAGTGTCAATGTATCAACCAAGAAAACATTCTTCGACTCGTTGATCTTTTGAGTTATTGTTTTACTGAGCCACATTTAGTCTGAATTTCATGCATGACATACTTGATTCAGTAAATAGTAACTAATCAATAATTGGCTTCGGTAATCCGGTCTACTGAGGATTCAGTGCGTGTCTACAAATCAGTCATATAACTCTTTCGTTTGTCGGATAAGTATACAGAATTTATGAAAGAAAAATCTTTGCTCATCTTATTTCAAAATTAATATTTGTTTTGTATTATTCAACTTCCACTCGTGTATATTCATAAACCACGTACCAGAATACTATGTCTAGATTTTAAAGTTAACGGTGTCAATTCAATAAAACATTTAATGCAGAACCCTGTGATTGATCCGCTGAACTATCAGGTTATTGGTATTAGTATGTGACTAGCAGCGGAATCCAGGGTACAGTTTTTAATTCAAAATAAAAATTTGCTATCCAAAGACAACTGGATCCAGGTCGTTCCACTATGAATATCGAAACTGGAATCTACATATGTCCAGCTGACGAATTCCAAACAAGAGGGAATGTGAGTACAAGATCAAAGTGCTAGCCACATATCAAATATACTTAACTGATTTTAACGATTTAGACTGGAGAAGAAACCTAGACATTTGATGACTATATTTTTATAGTTGAATTCATGAGTCGATCTAAGGTAGACCACCATTAAAAACTTGGCAGCACTGGACGGCCGTTTTATTCCAGTATGAAACTTGCTTCAAAATAGATTTCCTAGAGTTTTAGTGAGAAGCCGTGATCAGTGGAGTCCAATCTGTGTCGGGTATGAGACAGTTATCCACCTCAGACAATAGATGAAGGGTTGGGCAAAATCGTGGGTCGACTAAAGTTAGACATTAATACAGTGGGATGGCAGCTCAGTGGTCTAGAGGTTAAGTGTTCGAGCGCGAGATCGAAAGCCCTGGGTTCGAGTCTCGCGTGAGAATTTCTGGATGCGCACTGCTGAGTAGTTTTAAACTAGAACGAAACAGCCGTTCAATGCTCCCAGCTTTCCACTGGTGATCCAGCTTAGATCAACTCGTGAATTCAACTGCGAAGGTACCACGATCTTCACAAATCCCTACACCGATTACATTTTTGTCCAAATTATCTAAGTTCAGAGAAGTAACATAATCTCTTCACTAGAATTTATAAATAAATTGGTTGTAATCACACCATTTTGCATCGTTAATCAAGCGAGATCAATGCATCAAAGTTGTATAAATAAAACCTATTGACTGACTGAGTTCATGAATTTATTTGTGACAAATTCAAGCTGCTTATTATATCTAAATATTTGACCAAAATAATAGGACAAATGCATATTTTTTTGTTATATCCTCTGCAATATGTAAAACTGTGTTAATTTAATTCGTTTATTTATTTACTCTGAAGAAGTGGTCTACATTAAGTCTCGAAACGTCAGAACTACAATTCTTTCACTCAATCAAATATAACAAAAATATTTCCTTATATCAACTTTCTACCTAATGATCAATTTATTTAAAACGATCAAGTCCAAACTTATCACCGTTACCTAGAAATAAGACAGTTAATTAAACGAGGATCGGTATGCAAATTACAAAGTAACAATTGATAATTCATATATACTCGTCATAAGACTGAACAACTCATTACTACACCTGTAGTGAACGAGAACACGAGTGGGGACAATCGATTTCGTAGATTGGTTGAGGTTAGACATTAACACCACTGGATGCCGGCTCAGGGGTTCAGTAAGTTAAGCGTTCGCATGCGAGATTGAAGACCCTCTGTTCGAATCCTGCGGGCAGGATCGTGGATGCGCGGTGCTGAGGAGTCCCACAATAGGACGAATCGGCCGTCTTGTGTTTCCAGGTTTTCAATGGTGATCTAACATCAATCGATTCATGATCTCAATCAAAACTTAACAATCTCCACAACCTCTGTACTGATAATGGAAATAGTTTATTTGATCTTTACTTTACTAATAAACTTCTTTTTTTGATAAACGTCAAACACAAGGGTTGGGTAATTGTTTATATACATTTCTAAATTATTAACTATCATTATTTCATGAAAAAAGTATTACTGTCTAACCGTAAAATATTATTTTGAAATATATAATACCTGATATTATTGAATATAATTAAACTTACTTCAGTTTGAATTGTACGTTGCTGTTGTCGTAATTGTTGTTGTTCCAATTCAAATAATTGATAAACAAAATCATCGTATGATTTTGGTTTCATAGGACATTGTGATTTAGCAGCAGGAGAAATTAAAATGTTCTCAAACGAATTCCAGATCTCACTACAATTTATACTTTTTATATGAAGTAATAAATGAAATTAATTCAGATAAACACCTATCAGGATAATTGATGGACAAATATAATTCTGTTTTTATTGACATTTTTAGGAATAAGAGAGTTGTGAAAATACTTAAATGTTTAAATTCACATCATGGAATATTTCTAACTAAACAATCATTGAAGATTGTAAAGTTTTATGCAGCTGTTTCATGTTGGTATGAGATACGTCAGTTTTGAGAGCTCACGAATCCATTTAGTGGTCTAAAGGTTGACTATTGACCTCAAGGCGTAAAAATCATGTATCTAATTTCTGTTGCGTTCTCGAATGTTCACTACTAAGTTCAATGTTAAAATGAAATTGATATCACATAGCTCCTAGATTTCAACAGTTATGTATTCGAGATTAGTTCATGATATAAACTACAAATTTTTTTAATTATTAATTATTCGACAAATTTAAAATATCAATAAATTGTGCAAAGACATTAGAATTCATCTATAAATTATGAAAGTGAATTAATAGTTCAGTGATCAAAGGCTTTGACTTTTTGTAGCTGGGTGATAAATTCAAACTTTCAGTCCATTTATATTGCTACTAGATAGAAAGTAAATAGTATCACTAGCACTTACATTCAAGCGCATAGTTTTAAATCGAAATAAGCAGACCACTATATGATTATTGATTTACATTAATAACTTTAGTCGATGGAATAACAGTTTTTGGTAAACTTGGGGAAAAAATTACCTTACAAAATGAAATTGGCAAAACGTATACTGTATACTTATATTGTGATTCCTCATTCATTGCTTTCAAAAATAATTCTTCTGAAAGGTATGCTTACAGTTCAAATGTCATATTCATTTACGCTAACACAATAAACCAATAGATCGATCAGATCCTCAAAATTTACTCAATAAGATGTGTAACATTAATAGCTTATAAGATTTATAAACGTGTTACACAGTGTAAATGGTTAAAATTTCAAACAGTCATACTATGTAATTAATTCACTGAAAATAATATCCTGTGAATTAACTGAACATCGCAGAGTTCATTTTTATATTTTACATAGTTGTATCAAAATAGAGTTAACATATATATCTGATGACGGAAACGATTTCTGTAATTGTTTCCAGCAAGTTCTGGTCAGAAAAACAATGAAATTACCATTAATGATATAAATATCACGTTAGATTGCGCATTATGATTTGAGATGGGAATTCGAATTATTACAATCAGATTATGTGATCTTAAATATCATTGATGTTATGGATGATAACTTCTGTTAAGTATCAAACCGGGAAGAAACTAATGTCCGTTAATTCCTTTATCCTTAATTGTTTCCTATAAGATTTTTTTCCCTGATCGAAATAACTTTTAAATCACTAATTAACAATCTTCGTATTTAATATATGATTGTCTAATTCATATAACTATGATATTCATAATAATATTATTTTATTTCGAAAAAAACTGTAATATTTAGTTATTATGGGTTTCTTAACAATAACATCAAACAAACTTACTTAGTCGCTCCATGTTCAATCTTCCAGTGAGTACATCTTGATTTTACTATATCAGCAAGTAAGTTCGTTTGATGTTGTGCACAGTTAAAGTCAAATATATTTGATAAAGTAAGAAACAATATTATAATCATCATTATTTGAATTAAAATATTGTTAAAAATAAGTGAACATTTCAGTTTTTTATTATATGTATACAATCTTTTATAGTTATTTCAACATGAGATCAACACAGATCAGGATTTTACACCCTCATTATTACGAAATAAATTAATCTCATTGGATGTTTAATTACTAAGTTGTTACTATGCTTGTAGTTTAGCACTATTTTTATTTGTTATTGGTTAGTTTGAATGATTAATGTATGAGATATAAGAAACACTAATTAATAATAAAAATGAACTTTAATTAGTAGAATTTTATTCAAAACTGTAACTTTTTCTGGCCCAGAAATCATGTGAATTATGCTTTTTAGCAATCCTATTATTGATCACTTTCACTTATATGAGTATAAGTTGACAGTTATCTCATTTCAATGTCTATTCGACTGCATGTTTATATACCTACACAAATTAGTCTTATTGTATTTTAATAGTAAAAGAATATCAAGGATTTACAGTGAGACTAATGAAGAGTCAGTAAGTACGAAATATTACATTTTCCAAACTGTGCTAATTTACGTCTATTACCCCCCGTGGAGGAGTATAGACCGTCCACCAGCATTCTACAAACAATCCTGTCCTTGAATACCCTTTCCACTTGTTTCCAGTTGATATTCATTTTTATGCATACATTCTACTGCCGGCGCAATGTGTTCCTCGTTTCAATTTCCCTCCAGGATTCCAGGTTAGCACTTGCCCCGTGATGCAGTTTGATGATTTCCGAAATGTATCTCCTGTCTACTTCCAGAGTCTTTTCCCAATTTCCTCTACAGATGGAAGTTGGTTTGTCCTCTCACACAGTAGGTTGTTGCTAATGGTATCCGACCAACGCATATTAAGTCTCTTGCGTACACAATTGTTTATAAATACCTGTACTCTCATGATGATGATTGTGGTAGTTCTCCAAGTTTCAGTTCCCTCCATACAGCAGAACTGTCTTGACGTTCGTATTGAAGATTCTGACTGATATTGGTTGACAGACAGTTGTTTTGAGTTTCATTTTCTTCAATTGTAGGAATGCTGTCCTTGCTTTGCCAATCCTCGACTTTCCGTTCGCATCCGATCTTCCTTGGTCATCGATGATGTTGTCCATGTTCGTGTACGATCCCACATCTTCCAGAACTTCTATATCAAATGCGATTCTCTATGTTGTATTTGAGGATCTCACTTTTCCGCTTGTGTGCGTTGAGGATGTAAGAGCAAAGTTCAAATCGTTAGCTGCATTCAGCTTGGATCCATTAGGTTTCACTGATTCCGATCACCGCCAACTTGTATCTCTTAATTTCCGAAGCTGTTTGACGTGTACTCTCAGTCTCCCACATTTTCCGGGCATTCCATTCATTTATATTATTGTCGTACTTGTTTTAAAAGGGCCATTAGTCTCGTGATTTTCGAAGAATCTCGGCTTTCATAACTTTTAAATGAAGATCATTCAATTCGGAGGGCAGTAATTAAGTGGTTAAAATGATTTTCTTTGTGGTTGTAGTGTTTTTTACCAAAGTGTTTTTCTACGGGATGATGATATATATTTGTAAAAGTTAGTATGTGTATAGTTAAAGCTTCGAAAAATAAAATATGTATCCAGTGGTATCTTATAAGTGAAAATTTTCTTAAAGCTACCGATCACAGATACTCGTGACTTAGTTATATTTGATGAGTTTAGACTGATGCATCTCGATAATTAATCGAATGACTTTTATCACTTAAGTTGAAAGTGTTAACATCCTACATTTGGATGATGAATTTTGTATGTTATTTTAAATATGTGGTTATTTGCTATACACGTATCCTGGATTTTTAACAAACTTTACATCGTCAATCTAAGGAGTTTCAATGTTTAGAATTCTGTTACGACAAATAAATAGTTTCAAGGTTAATTTCCATATAAGTGGCTTTCCAAATAAGTGATTGCACTAACAACCATCTCACTGTAATTTACAACTATCAATATATACACTACAAATCTCCATCAGTGATCTCTATCATCTGAATAAACTATTGAAACAGGTACTATCGTACCATACTTCCAAATATTTGGAAGCACGTGAGAGCCAACACAGAAGATTGTAGCAGTGAATAATCATAGCTAAATGTGGAAAGGTAATAAAGAATACGTTTTACAATCTTTGTATTTGAGAGAGAAAAGATTAAATATGTAAATAAAGAAGAGTATTAGGCATCATATCAAATTTCTATTCTAAAGTGTTAATCAGAAGCTATGATGAGAATATATAATCAAACAAATTGATTGACGATTCAATCACAAGACATAAAAATACCTTACAGTGTTGTAATCTATTAATACTAAATTCATTACGGTATCACAATAAGTAATGATCTTCATTATTCAAATCATAATCGTTGAGTGATTTGATGGAAACATGTACTTACATGTTTCGTAAAAAAAGACCTCACACTTACAATTATAGAATAATTACGAATGAGCGAAACTGAACTTAATTTATCAACGCAAATGTAAATATCATCCTTAAATATTCAAAGAAAGACAATGTACAAAGCTATTTGATATTGATTTATTTTTATGTGAATAAATTTGTTGAAATTAGTAATGAAAAGGTAATGTTATTTTGAAAGAAGAAAAAGCTTCATATATATATGAAATAATTTCAGCGAACAAGAAAACTGTATTTTTCCATTCATTTTATTGTTATTCAACTTGACGCTCCCAAATGCCCTGGTATGACTGAGAGTGGGGAGAGTCAACTCTCCCTCTCGAAATGCTTTCACATGGCCACGTGCATCCTACTCACTGCCTTCTCGAGGCATTACTGTAGCTTACGAAATTCAGAGGACGAAAAGCGAACGTTCGGCGCTTTAATCAGGTTGTGGATATAGAGGATTTAACTAGGAGAGTCAAAAAACCCTGATTCCAAACCAATGATGCACATGGGCTCCAGGATCCTGAAGAAACAAATGGCGTATGAACCAACTTTTAGTCACTGGCTACCATGGGATCGCATCTCCTTACGTGGCTCCACTGCCGGTGGATTAGGCCTTTAGGTCAAAAGCTCGGAGAGTGGCCCCCTTACAAGACCACCTGCTTCGGTTTGGCACCAGGGCAGTGTCCCAGCTCTCACACAAATCGAATGATTTATGTGTCGCATATCTTTTTGATGACTCCTTGCATCAATGTTTATGTGTTTGAATAAATAAATATTCAACTTGATAGTATGGTTCTTTGATGTTGTATCTGTACCAATTTAAAAAAATTCAATAATTAATTTATTAAATCTTTTACTCATTAGTTTAATGTTTCTTGTTTGTCTATGCTGTTAAAGACATTTATTTATTTGATGAGTGACATAACTGTTTCTGTAAATCTTTTATTTATTTTAGATGTGTACCTAAACTTACAACTTGTTAAGATAATGATGAAAGAAAATGAAAGCAGAATATATGAAAATTAAACTGTAGATGTTTCTGTTGTTGGTGTTGTCCTCAGTGTTTATCGTTCTCACTGATTGTGTAATACTCGGCAATTTCAGTCATTTTCCCTTACGTAGGTGTTCCATACTACAGTATATTTCATATCAATCAACCCTGGATTTGTTTGCAACTGTTTAGTATAAACATGTCTAGTAAAACACAGTATAAAATGTCGGATGAAATACACAAATATAGTATTAGTTAGGGCTTTAAATGAGATCTCTGATGAAACATACACTCTAATATTCAATACCCATCCACTAAATGTGGAGAAAAATGACTGGAAGTTCTGATTAAGGATGTCCCTAAGTGATGCTTTAAACACACCTATATGGTATATGCATATACAAATATGTGTAATATGATTTTCATATGGTTTTTTTATGAAAACATTGAGTGTTATTTTAAATTGTTCCAAACTAATATTCGGTAAGAATTATTTAAATTTAGTGAACAGTCTCCACTCATGAATAATTAGTCCTGAATTATAGCAACCAGCACAATAACGTTCAGCCATTCAGTTTTTATTCAGTGTTCTAATATATCAAATTCCAGTCAGTCCTCAATTAAAACACAGTTCTTTTCTTATTGAATCTGTGAATAAATATTTGATCTGGAAATTGGTCGCACACCAAATCTTGGCTCGTGAATTGAGCTTCGAAAAATCCACTCTGAAACTGGTAAAAATTAAGCAATTGATTATTATTATTCGACATTGTTTTGTCGAGACAATCTATACAGTTTAGAAGTTATTATTAAAACTAACTTGCTTCAAGTGAACTAATAAAGACCAAGAAACATTGAGCATCTGCCACTTCACTGACTTCAGTGAACCTTCATATAATTTACTTAAAGTCTGTACTACAATTCACATTCATGGACTCACGATGAATCCAACTTAGGAATGACTAGTCATGAGGTAAATACGTTATTTCTCAACCAGTATTTTGAAGTCCAGTGAACTCTACTTTAAATATCAGTCGTTTCGTCTTACAGAGAAGTAATCATTCAATCTTATAGAGGATGACTGCCTCAGGATGTGAATGAACTTCACAAAATACGACTTCTCATATGAGCTTCGGTAAAGCATCTAGAATTTAAATAATGATGAGCACAGTATTATAGTTATATAGGTCTGTGGAGACTGGTTTTATTTTCATGTGGTTTACTCGACAAGCTAAAATCACATACGGTACCAATGAAAACTATGGATAATTTTGGATCTGTGATAAATCATCGTTTCTCTGATAAAACAATCTTTTCTCAATCTTTATGTAAATACTGGACGATGTTCAAGAGTTATTTTGACAAATTTTTGCGTAAATTATAAAAGTGATATTTTTGTGTAGAATAACTGTAGTCGTTTTATCTTAGACACACTTCATAGACCTCGGTTTTTTTAAAACTCTCATCAGAACTTGTTATTTGCTAGACTACTTTCAAGTACATTAATAATGAGATAAAAATAGTACCTAGCTAAAGTACGGTATTATTCAGAAAGTTAAATTTCAACATTAAACAAACTAGCTGTTGTTTCTATATTTCAGAATGTAATAAATTGTGGAGGCTGGAAATTT